CTCTGAATAATAAGCCAAAGTAAGGCAGACATCAGACTTTGCCTGTAGTGCCTAATATCTTGAGAATCCTGGGCCTTCCAGGAAGTGAGTTTTTTTCCCCCCACTCTGTAAGGCTGGGAACCCTTGAAAACATGCATTTTATGCATATTCTCAAATATGATATCCCAGTCAAAGTCTTGGTAATTTAACCAGTGTTTTCAGTTGTATCCTGTTATAAAGAAAGCAAATTCTTATTTAACTTATATGAATAACCAGATTGCCATAAAAATAAAATAAGAATACTCATGAATAGTTTCCAAATTCTGGAGGGATATAGTAGGAAGAAAAAGTAAACACTTCAATTTTTTTTTTTTTTTTTTTTTTTTTTTGAAGCAGAGTCTTGCTCTGTCCCCCAGGCTGGAGTGCAACGGCGCAATCTCGGCTCATTGCAACCTCTGCCTCCCAGGTTCAAGTCAGTCTTTTTCCTCAGCCTCCCAAGCGGCTGGGATTACAGGCGTGTGCCACCATTCCTGGCTAATTTTTGTATTTTTCGTAAAGACAGCGTTTTGCCGTGTTGGCCAGGCTGGTCTCAAACTCCTGACCTCAGATGATCCACCCACCTTGGCCTTCAATTTTTGTTCACAAAAATATACTTTATCAAATTGCTGTAAACTATAGGTAGCTTAGAAGAAAAAAGTGTTCTTAAATCTGAAAAACAAAACATTAAAAAAACTAGCAATGTTTCAAATTTAAAAAGCTATAAAAACCCATACTTCTTTATTCGTTCAGTCTCATGTAATTCTTATTCTGCTTGATCTCGGTTAGCAGTTTCACTAACCCCTCAGTTTCTTCATTAGAGTTCTGGAAATCCTTACCCACTCCAATGGTATGATTCCAAAGTGATCAGAAACCTGTCCATGAACCTTCTTGAAGAAAAAGCAATTTTAGACTGCAGCTGACTACAAATGCTTATAAAGAAGAATCAAAAACACCGTCTGGGGCTGACAAAGACTTAGAACAGCCAGGAGTAACATCCGATGAGAGTTCATCATAACAAGCAATTGCAAAGAACTTCGGTTGTTTCTGTGTCATACAGCATTTTATCATAGCTAAAATTATGACTGGTAACATGAAATTTCTAGGAAATTTACATATTACTCATATGTATTAGACATTGTATGGAATTGTATGGAATACATAATATATGTATGGAACACATAACATATCCATGCAAATATAACTCAAATAAGGGTTAAACATCATTTCTTATTTGACAATGCTTCCCATTCAATTTAGCAAATCAAATAAGCCTAATTGGTTTAATATGTCTCTTTCAGATTTCCAGGGGCCCTCTGGAAATCAATTGTTTTAGGTCAAAAACACCATTTTAGCTTTGATTTTGGCAATTTTGTCAAACATATCAAATGGTTTAAAACGTGATCAAAACAGGATCATAGGTCACTATGAAATAAGTCATTCATTTAACCAGTGATAATTAAAAGACTTCAAAAGCAAACGCACAAGTTAGCACAAGTTACGTTACATGCCTATAGATAACCTTAACTCTTTTAATAGAGAGGAGACTCAGTTTTTCTAAGTAATCAGTGATATAATAAAGAAAAGGAGATTGATGGCAAGATGGCCAAATAGGAACAGCTCCAGTGTGCAGCTCCCAGTGAGACTGACACAGAAGGCGGGTGATTTCTGCATTTCCAACTGAGGTACATGGTTCATCTCATGGGGACTGGACAGGCAGTGGGTACAGCCCAAGGAGGGTGAGCCGAAGCAGGGTGGGGCATTGCCTCACCCAGGAAGTGCAAGGGGCCAAGGAACTCCCTCTTCTAGCCAAGGGAAGTCATCAGGGACTGTTTCCAGCACTCTGGCCCAGATATCATGCTTTTCCCACAGTCTTTGCAACCCGAAAACCAGGAGATTCCCTCCGGTACCTACATTACCACCAGGGCCCTGGGTTTTCAGCACAAAACTGGGTGGCTGTTTGGGCAGACACCAAGCTAGCTGCAGCAATCCTTTTTTTTTTTTTTTTCCCCATACTCTAGAGGCACCTGGAAGGCCAGCAAGACAGAAACGTTCACTCCCCTGGAAAGGGGGCTGAAGTCAGGGAGCCAAGTAGTCTGACTTGGTGGGTCCCACCCCCATGGACTCTGGCAAGCTAAGATCCACTGGACTGAAATTTTTGCTGCCAGCACAGCAGTCTGAGCTGAACCTGGGACACAAGCTTGGTAGGGGGAGGGCTGTCTGCCATTGCTGAGTCTCAAGTACATGGTTTTAACCTTACAGTGTAAACAAAGCTGCCGGAAAGTTTGAACTGGGCAGAGCCCACCATAGCTCAGCAAGGCCACTGGAGGCAGACTGTCACTAGATTCCCTCCTCTCTGGGCAGGGCATCTCTAAAAAACAGGCAGTAGCCTCAGGGACTTATAAAGCCCCCACCTTCCTGGGACAGAGCACCTGGGAAAAGGGGCAGTTGTGGGCACAGCTTCAGCAGACTTAAACATCCTTGCCTGGCAGCTCTGAAGAGAGCAGCAGACCTCCCAGGACAGCGTTCAAGCTCAGATAAAGGACAGACTGCCTCCTCAAGTGGCTCCCTGACCCCCATGTATCCTGACTGGGAGACACCTCCCAGTAGGGGCTGACAGATGCCTTATACAGGAGATCTCTGGCTGGCATCTGACAAGTACCCCTCTGGAATGAAGCTACCAGAGGAAAGAACAGGCAGCAATATTTGCTGTTCTGCAGCCTCCTCCAGTGATACCCAGGCAAACAGGGTCTGGAGTGGACCTCCAGCAAACTCCAGCAGACCTGTAGCACAGGGGCCTGATTGTTAGAAGGAAAACAAACAAACAGAAAGGAGTAGTTTCAACATCAACAAAAAGGATGTCCACTCAGAGACCCCATCTAAAGGTCACCGACTTCAGAGACCAAAGGTAGATAAATCCACGAAGATGGGAAGAAACCAGTGCAAAAAGGCTGAAATTTCCAAAAACCAGAACACCTTTTCTCCTCCAAGGGATAACAGCTCCTTGCCAGCAAGTGAACAAACCTGGAAGGAGAATGAGTTTGATGAATTGACAGAAGTAGGCTTCAGAAGGTGGGTAATAAAAAACTCCTCCGAGCTAAAGGAGCATGTTTTAACTCAATGCAAGGAAGCTAAGAACTTTGCAAAAAGGGTAGATGAATTGGTAGCTAGAATAACCAGTTTAGAGAAGAACATAAACAACCTGATGGAGCTGAAAAACACAGTACAAGAACTTCCTGAAGCATACAGAAGTTTCAACAGCTGAATCGATCAAGTAGAAGAAAGGATATCAGAGATCGAAGATCAACTCAATGAAATAAAGTGAGAAGATTAGAGAAAAAAAGAGTGAAAAGAAATGAACAAAGCCTCTAAGAAATATGAGACCATGTGAAAAGACCAAAGCTATGTTTGATTGGTGTATCTGAAAGTGATGGGAAGAATGAAGCCAAGTTGGAAAACACTCTTCAGGGTATTATCCAGGAGAACTTCCCCAACATAGCAAGACAGGCCAACATTCAAATTCAGGAAATGCAGAGACCACCACAAAGATACTCCTTGAGAAGAGCAGCCACAAGACACATAGACACATAATTGTCAGATTCACCAAGGTTGAAATGAGGAAAAAGTGCTAACGGCAGCCAGAGAGAGAGGTCAGGTTACCCACAAAGGGAAGTCAATCAGACTCACAGCGGATCTCTGCAGAAACTCTATAAGCCAGAAGAGAGTGGGGGCCAATATTCAACACTCTTAAAGAATTTTCAACCTAGAATTTCATATCCAGTCAAACAAAGCTTCATAAGCAAAGGAGAAATAAAAATCCTTTACAGACAAGCAAATGCTGAAAGATTTCATCACCACCAGGCCTGTCCTACAAGAGCTCCTGCAGGAAGCACCAAACACGGAAAAGAACAACATACCAAATCGTAAAGACCAAAGACACTAGGAAGAAACTGCATCAACTAATGGGCAAAATAGTCAGCTAGCATCATAATGACAGGATCAAATTCACACATAACAATATTAACCTTGGCTGGAAGTGGTGGCTCATGCCTGTAATCCCAGCACTTTGGGAGGCCAAAGCAGGCGGATCACCTGAGGTCAGGAGTTCCAGACCAGCCTGATCAACATGGAGAAACCCTGTCTGTACTAAAAAATTAGAAAATTAGCCAGGAGTGGTGGCGTATGCCTATAATCCCAGCTACTAGGGAGGCTGAGGCAGGAAAATCTCTTGAACCTGGGAGGTGGAGGTTGTGGTGAGCTGAGATCATGCCATTGCCCTCCAGCCTGGGCAACAAGAGTGAAACTCCATCTCTAAATAAATAAATAAACAATATTAACCTTAAATGTAAATAGGCTAAATGTTCCAATTAAAAGACACAGACTGGCAAACTGGATAGAGTCAAGACCCATCAGTGTGTTATATTCAGAAGACCCATCTCATGTACAAAGACACATATAGCCTCAAAATAAAGGGATGGAAGAGGATTTACCATGCAAATGGAAGGCAAAATAAAAGCAGGGGTTGCAATCCTGGTCTCGGATAAAACAGACTTTAAACCAACAAAGATAAAAAGAGATAAAGAAGGGCATTACATAATGGTAAAGGAATCAATGCAACAAGAAGAGCTAACTGTAAGATTTATTGCCAAGGTAAAATGAGGAAACTGAGGCAAGTATAAGAAAATGAGAAGCTAATTTATTCAGCTCCCGGGCGAGGTTCTGTGGTCCAGGGAGGGGCCAAAGAAGTCACACCCAGCTGTTTAGGTCATGGGGTTTTATGGGGAGGGAAGGCAATTGATTGGCTATTGGGGAAACAAAGCAAAGGCAATTTTATTGGCTGTCAGGAAGCAGGAAGTACCTGAAACTAGTTGCAATTGATAAGCAGGCGGGACTTTGGGTAAGTGGGCCTTGATTGGCTGTTGGGGAAACAAAGTGAAGGCAATCTTATTGGCTATTAAGAAGCAGGAAATTCCTGGAGCTAGTGGTTATGGGTAGGTGGGCGGGACCTTGGGTTGGTAGGCCTTGATTGACTGTTGGGGAAACAAAGTGAAGGCAATCTTATTGGCTATTAAGAAGCAGGAAATACCTGGAGCTAGTGGTTATGGGTAGGCAGGCCTTCCGGGGGCATACAGAGCAGACTGCCACTGGGCAGGGTCTGATGGGACTTCTTTAAAAAAAAATTTTCCTGCAGGGTTTATCAACAGCAGGCTGGGGGTTGAATGCATAATTTAGTGCCGAATGTGGGCCTGGGTCTGGTATGCGGAGGCGGGTGCGGAGAAGCCGTGCGGCAAGGCCAGATAACGAGCTTGGGTAATGACGCAGTTATCAGGCACGGAGAGAGATGGATGTGTCCATTTAACCCTCTGCAAGGCAGCCGGCCTTACACTAATGATCCTAAATATATACGCACCCAATACAGGAGCACCCAGATACATAAAGCAAGTTCTTAGAGACCTACAAAGAGACTTAGACTCCCACACAATAACAGTGGGAGACTTTACAGCCCACTGTCAATATTAGACAGATCAATGAGACAGAAAATTAACAAGGATATCCAGGACTTGAACTCAGCTCTGACCAAGCCGACCTAATAGACATCTACAGAACTCTCCACCCCAAATCCACAGAATTTACATTCTTCTCAGCACTGCCTTGCACTTATTCTAAAATTGACCACATAATTGGAAATAAAACACTACTCAGCAAATGCAAAAGAATGGAAATCAACAAATAGTCTCTCAGATCACAGTGCAATCAAATTAGAAGTCAGGATTTAAAAATTCACTCAAAACTGCACAGCAACATGGAAACTGAACAACTTGCTCCTGAATGACTACTGGATAAATAATGAAATGAAGGCAGAAATAAAGATGTTCTTTGAAACCAATGAGAACAAAGACACAATGTACCAGAATCTCTGGGACACATTTAAAGCAGTGTGTAGAGGGAAATTTATAGCACTAAATCCTCACAAGAGAAAGCAGGAAATATCTAAAATTGACATGCTAACATCACAATTAAAAGAACTAGAGAAGCAAGAGCAAACAAATTCAAAAGCTAGCAGAAGACAAGAAATAACCTAGATCAGAGCAGAACTGAATGAAATAGAGACCAAAAAAAACCCTTCATAAAAAAAAAAAAAAAAAATGAATCCAGGAGCTGGTTTTTTTTTGAAAAGATCAACCAAATAGATAGACCGATAGCCAGACAAATAAAGAAGAAAAGAGAAGAATCAAGCAGATGCAATAAAAAATGATAAGGAGAGACCACCGATCCCACAGAAATACAAACTACCATCAGAAATTATTATAAACACCCCTATGCAAATAAACCAGAAAACTCAGAAGAAATGGATAAATTCCAGGACAATTACACCCTCCCAAGACCAAACCAGAAAAAAGGCGAATCCCTGAAAAGACTAATAACAAGTTCTGAAATTGAGGCAGCAATTAATAGCCTACCAACCAAAAAAGACCAAGACCAGACAGTTTCACAGCCAAATTCTACCAGAGGTACAAAGAGGAGCTGGTACCATTACTTCTGAAACTATTCCAAACAATAGAAAAAGAGGGAATCCTCCCTAACTCATTTTATGAGGCCAACATCATCCTGATACCAAAACCTGGCAGAGACAAAAAAAAAAAATAAAATTTCAGGTCAATTTCACTGATGAACTCGATGTGAAAATCCTCCATAAAATAGTAGCAAACCAAATCCAGCAGCACATCATAAAGCTTATCCACCACGATCAAGTCAGATTCATCCCTAGGATGCAAGGCTGGTTTAACATACTCAAATCAATAAATGTAATCTATCACATAAACAAAAACCACGTGATTATCTCAATAGATGCAGAGAAGGCCTTTGACAAAATTCGACAACAGCCTTTCATGCTGAAAGCTCTCAATGAACTAGGTATTGATGGAACATATCTCAAAATAATAAGAGCTATTTATGACAAACCCACAGCCCACATCATATTGAATGAGCAAAAACTGGAAGCATTCCCTTTGTAAACTGGCACAAGACAAGGATGCCCTCTCTCTCCACTCCTATTCAACATAGTATTGGAAGTTTTGGCCAGGGCAATCAGGGAAGAGAAAGAAATAAAGGGTATTCAATTACAAAAAGAGGAAGTCAAATTGTCTCTATTTGCAGACAACATGATTGTCTATTTAGAAGACCCCATCGTCTCAGCCCAAAGCTCCTTAAGCAGATAAGCAACTTCAGCAAAGTCTCAGGATACAAAAATCACAAGTATTCCTATACACCAATAACTCTTTGCAGCAATTGTGAATGGGAGTTCACTCATGATTTGTCTACAGCCAAATCATGAGTGACCTCCCATTCACAATTGCTACAAAGAGAATAAAATAGCTAGGAATACAACTTACAAGGGATGTGAAGGACCTCTTCAAGGAGAACTACAAACCACTGCTCAAGGAAATAAGAGAGGACACAAACAGATGGAGAAACATTCCATGCTCATGGTTAGGAAGAATCAATATCATGAAAATGGCCATACTGCCCAAAGTAATTTATAGACTCAATGCTATCCCCATCAAGCTACCATTGACTTTCTTCACAGAATTGGAAAAACCACCTTAAACTTCATATGGGACCAGAAAGAGCCCACATAGCCAAATCAATTCAAAGCAAAATAATAATAATAATAATAATACCAAAACAATATATAGACCAATGGAACAGAACAGAGGCCTCAGAAATAACACCACACAGCTACAACCATCTGATCTTTGACAAACCTGACTAAAACAAGCAATGGGGAAAGGATTCCCTATTCAATAAATGGTGTTAGGAAAACTGGCTAATCATATGCAGAAAGCTGAAACTGGATACTTTCCTTACACCTTATACAAAAATTAACTCAAGATGAATTAAAGACTTACATTTAAGACCTAAAACCATAAAATCCCTAGAAGAAAACCTAGGCAATACCATTCAGGACATAGGCATGGACAAAAACTTCATGACTAAAACACCAAAAACAATATCAAGAAAAGCCAAAACAGACAAATGGAATCTAATTAAACTCAAAAGCTTCTGCACAGCAAAAGAAACTATCATCAGAGTGAACAGGCAACCTACAGAATAGGAGAAAATTTTTGCAATCTCTCCATCCGACAAAGGGCTTATTATCCAGAATCTACAAAGAACTTAAACAAATTTACAGGAAAAAAAAAAAAAAAACAACTCCATCAAAATGTGGGCGAAGGATATAAACAGACACTTCTCAAAAGGAGACATGTATGCAGCCAACAAACATAGGAAAAAAAGCTTATCATCAATGGTCATTAGACAAATGCAAATCAAAACCACAATGAGATACCATCTCATGCTAGTTAGAATGGCCATCAATAAAAAGTCAGGAGACAACAGATGCTGGAGAGGATGTGGAGAAATAGGAATGCTTTTACACTGTTGGTGGGAGTGTAAATTAGTTCAACCATTGTGGAAAACAGTGTGGTGATTCTTCAAGGATCTAGAACTAGAAATATCATTTGACCCAGCAATCCCATTACTGGGTATATACCCAAAGGATTATAAATCGTTCTATTATAAAGACACATGCACACGTATGTTTATTGCGGCACTGTTTACAATAGCAAAGACTTGGAACCAACCCAAATGCCCACCAATGATAGACTGGACAGGGAAAATGTGGCACACATACACCATGGAATACTGTGCAGCCATAACAAATGATGAATTCATGTCCTTTGCAGGGACATGGATGAAGCTGGATACCATCATTCTCAGCAAACTGACACAAGAACAGAAAACCAACCACCACATGTTCTCACTCATAAGTGGGAGCTGAGCAATGAGAACACATGGACACAGGGAGGGGAACATCACACACCGGGGCCTGTTGTGGGGTGGGGGGCTAGGGGAGGGATAGCATTAGGAGAAATACCTAATGTACATGACTGAGCAATGGACGCAAATCACCGTGACACCTGTATACCTATGTAATGAACCTGCATGTTCTGCACATGTACCGCAGAACTTAAATAAAAAAAAAGAAAATACAAAGCACAGGAAATTATTTTGCTAAAAAATATAATTTTTGTTCCCTAGGCCAATTACCTAAAAGGTTAAGAGATCTCTTTCATTATTTTCTATTAAAAGCAGGTGAGGCCCCTTCTCTGTTCCTAGCTGGAGGGACATGAGTGTCCTTGGGCCATCGTCCCTGGATGGGGCCCTGATAAGGCTACCCAACAGCCTGGAGGTCTGGGAACCCATGTGGGATTTAAGTGACACTTCTGCAGATGAAGGGTTAACAGAGGACTTGACTATAAGACAAAGCTGCAGAGCAACTGGCGGCAGGATTGCTTTCTCATTACCTGCCGGATCTGCAGAGATCAAAACAAGCCCTCCAGGAACTCACACAGAACCAAGTTTTATTGTCGACACATTGGAACAAGAGATTTCAAAATTTAAAGAGTGTCATTCTATGTTGGATATTAATGCTTTGTTTGCTGAGGCTAAACACTATCCGCTGAGTGGGTGAATATAGGAAATGCTGATGCTTTGTGAAAAGACATCAAATTAAAAAAAAAAAAAAAAAAAAAGAGCTGGCCAGTGCTTAGCTTACTCCTGTAATTTCAGCACTTTGGGAGGCCGAGGTGGGCAGATCACAAGATCAGGAGTTTGAGACCAG